GCTTTGAAGAACTCTGCGCCATCATACTGAACTATAGGGTGAATCCCTTTATAGAACATTATCAAGTGTTCGGCAGTTTCTTCTTCCTCTCCACACGCACTGCATACCGTGTCTACCCCTTCGTAATTGGTCCGATATGCCTTGGTTCGCAATACTCCCGTCCTGGCCTCAACAGCAGAGAACTACACCGAGTATTATCATCTATAGATCTTTTCCTTGGCAATAATCTCCTGCTTAAAAGTTTGATTGATCTCTAGTGCGGACTTCTTAATCATGCCAATTCTCCACATATCGGTCTCAGCTTCCTTCACCTTCTTCTTAACCGATAATTCTTTTTGGTTTATTGGCCCCCTGCTTTTTCCAAGTATTTACCAGTCAATTTTCTGGTTCGCTTCCACCATTTTGTATTGACATTCTTCATGTACAAGTAGCTGAATACCTTCCTAACCCAATGCTCCTCACCCATTTCTCTCAATCGCTTCTCAAATTTTATCTTGCTGCTAGCTTCCCTGCCCTCAAATGATCCATCCCATATCACCTTGTACTCCCTGATTTGGTGTATTCCCGTGAGCTCCTAAGGCAAGCCTACCTATTCCACGTTGCTTAATTTCTAATCTTGCTTGAACTTCTGATCCCATGCACAAGACCCCATTGCCGAACGTCAGACCAGGAACCATGACCCCTTTCCATATTCCTCTCACATCATACCTATTGTAATTCCACAGTGCCCTGTTTTCATTACCGCTGCATTCCTGTTACCTTTAGTCGTCACGTATGTTTCGTGTTCCCTTAGGTACTCGGCCCCATTGCTTATCCATACGCCCAGATATTGTATTTATTTGTTATCACTAGCGTGACCTCCGTATTCTAAGCTCACTACCTTCATTGTCATTAAAAATCATGACTCCCTCATTACCGCAGATGTCCACCAATCTCTGCAAATCTTTCTTGTTGTCGGCCATTAGTACTATATCTGCGTACATCAATGCTGGTAGTGCCTGTTCAATGAGTTTTCCTTATTTGACGAAACCGCGCCTCCGACTACAGCGCCACCGCAGCAGGCTCCTGAGTGAGAGCCACCTTGAAGCGGTCGGTTTTCACACCTGCCAATTCTAGCTACCCTAACAGTGGCCAAGGCAGCCCAAGTTCTTCTGCAAGCAGTTGGTGTTTTTCTGACTCAGCTCTCGAACGCTGTGAATTCGGCAGCCCGTGGCCGCCCTAAGGGTGTTTGTACCAAGGCAGCCCAAGTTCTTTGGCAAGTAGTTGGTGTTTCTGACTCAGCTCTCGAAAGCTGTGAATTCGGCAGCCCGTGGCCGCACTAAAGGGTGTTTGTACCACGCAATGGCCAAGCGGAAACTGTTCGAGGAAGGACGGTCGAATAAATCAAGTGGATCTTTCTACCAGTTCAACTGTGCGGCGGAGAAACGCGAGTCGGCCGAGTAAAAGAGATGCGCCGTGTGCTCGACCCTGCTGCTCGGATGCGCCGTCAGAGGAAAGCTGTGGACAATCTGGAACACGACAACTTCCACGACGACCCCCATGCCAATCTGGTGATGCATAAAAAGGCACCCAAGTTCGAAGAAACTTTGGAAGCCAAGCGCAAACGCAGAAGCAAAGGTGAGCCCTTTAAGGCGCGCTTTAAAAGGAATTTATATGCCCTCTTGGAAGAGCATCAAACGAGCAATCCGGAGCCGCCAAATTACAGTCATGCGAATGTACCGCCGTCAAAGTTGCCACCGCGGCACTTCTGTGCCGTTTGCGGCTTTCAGTCAAACTACACCTGCGTTTCCTGCGGGTCGAGGTACTGTTCGGTCAAGTGCCTCGGTGTGCACCGTGACACCCGCTGCCTGAAATGGACAGTCTAACACCCGTGTGCAGCAGCAAGTGGTTTCCTCCCCCAGCGCATACAAGCCAGCCGATGGAGAAAGAAACCGTCATGAATGATTGGCATGCTTACGTGATCTGCTGCAAGAATGCACATCCCACGCAATACATGTTTGTGACTGCATTCACAGGCAAAATTCTGTCGCGACCCTGTAATGTGGTGCGCCGACAAGTGTGAATTTTGAATGTCCGTGTGCCTCCTTACCTCAGTCATGCCACACATGTATGATGTATGTGAAACAGCAACTTCAATGAAATTAAACGTCATTTTCACCATTACAACAATTCCCAAGATAGACCCACTTTAGTTTGGTTGGATGACAGTTTGCGTGTCCAGAACACGCAGGACAGCAGCGCTGTGACCTGCATGTTTTTTGTCCTGTGTCTGTGGGTTCTGCGATGATGGTTGGCACATGGTAGCCACCTGCCAGCTCGTTAAAAGATTATGTGCGGCATGATATTTTAATGAGCTGGTTGCTCACCAATGAACTCTTGCATATTACCTCAAGACATAATCTGCTCAAGCAATGAATAGACAAAAAAGGGTGCCTTTTCTTATCGTACAGCTGACTTTATTGCTTTTTCGTTAAGGTTGCATCGGACAGAGATAAACGAGCTTTTAGATTCTCTTCATCATTCATAGCCAACAGCAGACTTGATGTCCTCAGGCAAGGGCATATGGTCAGCTACTAGCTTGTTAAAAGACAGAGTCATACTTGCTTTCATTGCCGCATGTGGCACAACATGTTAACATGCACTACATAAGTACCTGATAAAATGGTTGGGAAGATGATTCTTGCTGTAGCTCGGTACAGTATCGGATGTGTTACCGAAAGGTTGCAGGTTCGTTCGCCGCTAGCAGCAAGTTGTCTTTTCATCCAATTTACGTTGTTCACACTTGTGTCATAATCCAATACAATTAAGACTACAAATAACATCCTCTGTACTTTCCCTGGTATAATGGGGTATGGTAGGGTAAATGGTTTATGTGAGTTTTAGCGTAATATCTTAGAAACGGCTGCAAGTATTCACATAAAATTTTACGTGCTCTCAAAAATGCACTGGGAGGGTATAAAGTTACACCATTTTTTTCAGTTTCAGTTTTTTATCAGTTACAAAGCATCGATTACATAACACTTGTATACAGATGAGGGTCCCAGAGTAAATACTGAAAATGGGACCCTCAGTTAAAAGCGACAGCAAAAGTGAATTGAAAGCAATTGGCAGAAGATTAGCAGGTGGTAATAAGAAACTCTTACAAGACATAACAAGCAGCAACATGTAATAGTTAAAAAAAATGAAATAATACAATAAAATGAAAGTCACAATGGGAAAATGATATAAAAAAGCAATGCAATGGATAGTCAAATATGACACACAGAAGTAATATGAAATAAAAATAGAAAAAATTCACAAAAATTGAAAGAGGAAATGAAAATTTTACACGGGAAACAGAAATAAATCGAGACAAGTGGAAAAAAATTATACACCATAACTAAGGTGAGCAATCAGGAGTAAAAGGAAATATTTATTCATGTTTTGAAAAGGGAAAATGCGGGCAAAGATTTAAGTTCAAACGGCAAACTATTCTATAGATGAATGGTAGAGAATTTAGATGTTTTTTTAGCGTAGTTAGTGCAAACGTGTGGTAGCGAGTAATTATGTTTAGAAACGAACCTGGTGGATTAGTTTTCTTGAGCGAGCTACATTCAATATATTCAAAGGAGATTTGGGAATTAAATAACTTATAAAATATTATACTTATGTTATATTGAAAGAACTTGTTAACAGGTAAAATTTTGTGCTCATTAAGAAAGCTAAAGGCATTTGAATGCGAACAACTGTAAGTTATGATGCATATGGCTTGATTTGTATATGTTAGATGGAAGGAAGATAACAATGATAGATGTTACCCCAAGCGATTATGCCATAGTTAATATGCGAATGAATAAATGCAAAGTATAGTGAAAGCAATGCAGGAGGTGAAAAATACTGACGTGCCTTGATAAGAGCACGGATACCAAAGACCGACTTTTTTAATATGATTGATGTGAAGGTGAAACTTCAGATGGCTGTCCAATGTCACACCTGAAATACTGCAGAGTCATTCATGGGATAAATGATTTTCTAATGATAAGGAAAGAAAGTTTATGCGGATGAAAGCCAGAAATTTAGTTTTAGATTGATAAGTAGTTTGTTATTGTTACACCATTTAATTGGGTGGTCAGTGTCATATTTTATTTAGTAATGAACTCTATTTATCATGTACTGATATAGTTGTATTGTCTGTGTACATACATTGTGGCATAAGTCCGTGACGTCCTGCAAGTCATTAATATAAAGAGAAAAAATCAAAGGTCCCAAAATTGAACCTTGTGGCACTCCTTGTTTAGTAATTTTACGAAGAGAAAATGTTTCACGCGCGTATACCACAAACTCTCGTCCAGTTAGATAATGCTTTAAAAACGTTAGAACAGGGTCTGTGATCCCATAGGCTTCTAGCTTATGATACAAAATTGTGTGATTAATGTGTCAAAGGCTTAGTAAGGTCGAGGAAGACGGAACTGACGAATTCGTTCCCATCAAGACTATTCTTAATAAAATCTGTTAAAGTACGGCTAAATTAGTAGAACTTCCGGCCCGAAAACCGAACTGGCAAGATTTGATTATGTGGAATTTATCTAAGTACTTAGTTATTCTGAACACAAATAACTTTTCAATTATTTTACTTAGGGAGGGGAGAATAGAAATGGGACGGTAGTTAGAGAGCAGCTCTTTGTTACGTTTCTTAAAAGTGGGATTACCTTAGCATGTTTTAATACTTGTGAAAATTCACCAGTTTTGAAAATTAAAATAATTATTGCACATAGTGGTTCGCAAACAATGTCAGCAACTAGTTTAAGTGGCGTATTAGTACCATCTAATCCAGGGCTAGTGTTGCAGATAGTGGATAGCCCGCACTTGGCGCGACTGGAAAAAAGATAAAATGAATGACACAGACGATCTTAGGTTGAAAATTTGATGGCTGACTGCCGTGAGATAATGCGAAATGATTGGAAAACGTGCTAGCAATCTCAGCAGGCTGGCTTAAAGTAATGCTGTTGTGTTCAATTGTAGATATAACCAGTGGCGAGTTATGGTTCATGAATTCATTCAGCAATTTCCATTGCTTTTTAGGGTTACCTTTATTTCGCACAAATTCTGCTTCGTAGTATTGCCTTTTCGCTTCCTGGTTTTACAATACCTCTTGTACCTATTAAGCACAGAACTATTGAATGGCTGTATTTTGATTTTCTTATACAAATTATCTTTTTTCCTCAAGCTCTTTAGAAAACATTGGTCATCCATGGGTTTTTCGGTACCTAATCGATTTTACAGCGTACAACTCTAGAGGTGGTAGGAACTTACTTCGTGAAAACATTTCACGAGCAATCTATTTATGATAATGGGTGCTCTTTAGAAATAAAATTATTCAATTAGCAGAGAAACATATACCGAAAATTATCTTCCGTGAGATCGGCAGATGCCGTGGTTCACTAATCACTTAAAGCGTTTAGAAATAAGAAGAAAAGACTTTCCGAGCTGCTAAACAGGGTATGAATGCTAACGCTTGGGAAAATATTATTCTGCCGAAAAAATGTATCTATCTGCTGTTCGTGGCGCCAAGCATGCTTTTTTTAATAATGACTTGCCCAAATACTTATAGAAAACCCAAAGAAATTCTGGCAAGTAATAAACCCAAGTCATGTTAGCGCTTAACACTTGCTGATGATTCGGGGAACATTATGTCTGATACTGACTGCGCCACAACTTTCAACAATGCCTTCGTCTCAGTATTTACTAAGGATACTGGTGCTCCTCTATCTTTACTGTCTAGCAACATAGTATCCAGTATGCCGGCCATTAAGTTTAGCATAGATGGTATTCAAATGTGATTGATAACCTAAAACTTTCGTCCTGTGCCGGTATCGATGGTATTAACTCAAACTGTTAAGAAACACTATAGATATATCCTCGTCATTTTGTGTCTGCTGTTGCTCAGTCGCTTTCAGTAGGTTGCATTCCTCACGACTGGAAAGTGGGAAAAGTCATTCCATCTACAAAGCAGGCAACAGGCTTCACTCGCTAAATTATCGCCCCATCTCCCTCACGAGTCTGCCAAGTAAAATCTGGAGCACGTCATTTACTCACTCATTATGAACCATTTGGATGCCAATCATTTCTTTCATCCAGTACAACATGATTCCGCAAGGGCCTTTCTTGTAAAACACAGCTAGGTCTTTTCATTCATGACTTTCATATGAATCTTGACTGCAACAGACAAACTGACGCTATCTTCCTCGACTATGAAAAAGCTTTTGACAAGGTTTCTCACCGACACTTGTTACGTAAACTTCCTTCTTAAACTTAAACTCCGACGTACTAAAATGGCTTGAAGCGTTCTTAGTCAGCCGTTCGCAATTCGTCAGCGTCAGTGATCAGTCCTCCGTCCCACTTCCGGTTACTTCAGGTGTCCCCAGTGGTCTGTTCTTGGCCCACTTTTTTCTGGTATATATCAATGACTTACCCCTCATGTAACTTGTAAAATCCGTATGTTCACAGACGACTGCGTGATTTATCATATCATTAACAATATTACTGACGCAGATACATTACAGCAAATTTAACCGTGTGCAGTCTTGGTGTACCCGGTGGCTTATGACTCTCAATCCAAAAAAATGCAAATATATCATTTACCCGTAGTCACAGCCCATTACTTCTCCTTACATGATAGCCAATAGTCTCATTGAAACAGTCCCATCATTCAAGTGCCTAGGAGTCTTAATTTCATTTGATCTTAACTGGGGCACACATTAAATAGCATTCTGTCATCGGTGAACCAATCACTCGGCTTCTTGAGGCGCCACTTACGTCATGCCCCACGCGACGTAAGATTACTAGCGACATAACACTGATCAGGCCTAAAGTTGAATGCTCCACCAATCTGGGACCCTTATCAAAATACCTCATCAATGCACTTGAGTCTCTTCAAAATCGTGTGCAGCAAGATTCATTCTTCATCCTACTCATATGACGTAAGCATATCCGCCTAAAAGAAAAATCTAAACTACAATCCCTCTTACCCTCGTACGATATCCAGCCTTGGTCTTTTCATAAGTTTTTTTACAGTTCACTTAACCGCATGCCG